TTTTTGAGCTTGACTTGATTTCTCATTGAAAGTAACAGCTCAGGAAAGGGCAGGAACTGTAAGCTGCTATGTCTGACATCCCAGGTCTGTGTCTGGCCTGAGTTCTGGGGAACCTCAGACTTTGCCAGTGAAAGCAGCCTGGTTGTAGCCAGACACCCTGGCCTTGGTGCACAGCTCGCTGACCAGCAGTTCACAGCAGCAGCGCCAAGCTGACCAGGAAGGGTGTGCACCAGGCCTGCCAGACCCTGCCATGGTTTCCTTAGTCCTGGAACATGGGACAAAGCCTGCCAGGCCAAGCAGCTTACAGGGAATTATAATAGAACTGAAGAGTTTCCTTTTTTGTCTTCCTAGCAGTTACACTTAAGAAAGCTTCAAAGTAAATACTTTTTATGTATCTGTGCAGAAGTCAATTAAGTTCCTACATTCTTTATGAGTTAAAAGTACTTATACAATTGTAACTCTGTGGGATACATCTTTCTTTCTTAAATGGACATTCCAGTCTTTTGTGGAACATGTTAATATACAGATACTTAGGCCTGGAAATCCAGCTTTCACCCATCTTCAAAGCCATTTTCACGTACTTAAGCATTTCAGAGCAACTCTTGAACAGGCGCAGCAGATGTGCTTAGTTTATATGAAGTTAGTTCTCTGTGGTATATTTCAGCCCAAGAGACCAGTGACATATGTAGCATTTTTCTAGTGATGACCTTTTACTCTCACCTCAGAAAAGGAGAGGCTCAGTTCTGGGTAGTACAAGGCAGAGGCCCAGGCTTAGGATTTGCCTCCACATTCTTTACCCCACAAGAGCAACGAAGAGTTAGGTGATAGAAACTGTACAGGCACATTTGTTTGGAAGTTGAATGCTGTTCTGTTCTCCTCAAAACTTTATTTGTAATTTCTGTTTTTTCAGTAATTTATAGTGTAAAGATTTTGATGAAATATAGAATCTACTAGATTATATAATAATGATTTAAACCATTTTTATGTAAATCAAAAAGGGATACTGAATTCACATTTTGTAACACATGCCGTGTGAAGGTGTAAGCTTCTGCCATTTCCCTGAAATATTAAAACTTCCTTTATGTGAACTTACAATTTATTTTATTGAAGCTCACTAATACCCTCAAGTTTTGGGTAAGTAGACAGATCTCAGCCCAAACACACATATGTTGATGACAGAGCTGATGTGATTGATGGAAGCAGACACATCTTGAATATTTGATGCATAATTGAAAAATATTTGTGACGTTTTAACATGCATCATGTTAATATGCTCAGTTTTCAAAATATAACATATTCCACAGACAAATATTTCATTACAATGACATTCAAAAATATGACAGAAGGCTCATGGAAAAACTATGTACTTATCAGGATTTCTAGAATTAAAACTACAGGGGTCTGACACCATACCCACTGCCAACTTCTTTTTATTTTCTGAGTACTGAAAATTACACACATTCCCTTAGCACTAATCTATATTCATAGACATTTTCAATTTAATGTATTTTGGAGAAAGAGATAGTCTTGCTATGTCAGTAAGCTAGGTCCAAACTTTTCATCAATTGTGTTTGCACTTTTACCTGAAACCTCATGAACCAGACTCTGTTGTTCACATTTTTATCAGCTTTTGGATCAGAATCTCCCAAAGTCCTGATCTTTGTGTTCTAAAACTTCCATAGCACACATCTCTACTTTCCAATTCATCCTACAGACCTACCTTACAATCTTCTGATTCACATGGTCAGGTACCATTTACAAAAATATCTCCACTTCTTGGTACTAGTCTTCTATGGTACTTAGCTTTCACATTGGTGAGAAAAATATTCCAGCCCTTGAATTTAAAAGAAGAGCAGTTGATTTGGGTTCAAATCAGAAGGTTCAGTGTATGGTTGCCTGTCTCACAGGGACAAATATCAGGATTCTTGAGCTTCTCACGGTGGCTGGAAGCAGAAAGCAGGGAGGAGACAAGGAGGAGACAAGTCATCCAAAGGCAAGTAGCTACAGGGAGCTACCTTCTTCAAAAAGGCCTCACCTTCTAAAAAGACGCAGCCATGAACTCACCAATGGATTAATCCTCTCATGAGGCTAGCACCACCACAAGCTAAACATTCAAGAGCCCTTCCTCTAAATATACAGGAATTTTGAGAGGAAAATTTTTAATCTCAAACATAACATTCTTTAAAAAAACCATTGCAGGTCACAGCACAAAGAACATAAAACAGCCCACACTTTTCAGGATATTATTATGTCAGAGAAATGAGTGCAGCAGCAACGCACAGAAAAAAGTATTACCCAGATTGTGGTGTTTTCATGTTCACATATACATATATACTTGTGATATAACACATGTTTAAAATACCTGTAATATGTATATTTACTACATATGATATAAACTATACATACCATATATGTCATATATTATGATATATTTCAGGGACAGTGTATATTTGTCTCTCTGTGTAATCATCATCCCTAAATATCCACGTACGTCTTTTCCTTATTCCAGCTTGGAATGTTACCATGGAATCTGAGCCTAACATGCTAGCCCCCGTGTGTCTGATAGAAAATGCGAATGAGGAGCTGTCAGTGAACCCAGAAGCTCTACAGATTCTTAACCAGATTTCTAACCCAGTGGTGGTCATCGCCATCCTGGGCCTGTACCGCACTGGAAAATCCTACCTGATGAACCGGTTGGCAGGACAGAACAGCGGTGAGCACCGGCCTGGAGCAGGGCCAGTTGTTGATACCTGTGACATCTTAGCTTCTTAATTACTGTTCTCAGGCATGTGAAGGTAGAACCCAATGCTTCTCAGTGAAACAACTGCGTCCTTTTAATTTGCACCACCAAAGTAATACTTTGCTGTCATTCGTTCCCATAATCTAAAGACAATATAGTCTTATAAAGCTCATTATTCCAAAATTTCTTTGCAATGTTAATCACTAGACTGCTGTGCTTTTTCCCTTATAAAGCACATTCTGACGTTTTCACATAATAGGCCTATCTATGTTTAAGTATTTTAATTAAATATTTAATATTAAATATTTACCACTGTGAGATGCTTCTGGGCCAGTGAGATAGCTTACTGGACTAAGCACATGCTTAGGCAAGCGCAGGGTCTGAGGTGACTGATCTCTGGCACCACATATCACACCAGCACTGCCCCCAGGGCATGCTGAGCCAGCAAATGCATTGGGGCTGATGGTGCATGCCTGTAATCCCAGCGATAGGGAGGCTGAAAACAGGAGGATCCCCCAGAGTCTGAGCTTGCCATGAGACTCTGTAACAAACACATAAAAAAGATGCTTCTTAAACTCCCCAACCATGTGACTCCCAGCTTCTGTTTTGCCCTTCTTATTTTTGCTTCTTAGTGTATTTTCAATATAAAATATATTCCAGATTCTTCCTTCTGCTTCTATGTTCTTCTAACATCTGTCTTCATTTTGCTCCTCTCTAACTGAACCACAACTTCCTTTAGCAATGCTATTGTTGTAATCATCAGAGGTCTGTGTTTTTCAGATTCCTGGATGTCTTCTGTCATCACCTTGAGTCCTTTATTATCATCATTTTTATATTAATGTCCCCAGGCCTTTAAAACATAACTTACAAAAAATAAAACATACTTAGGAAAATAGAGAAGGCATTGTTTTTGTTTTGTTTTTCTTTTTTCTTTCCTTTTTTTTTTTTTTGGCTGAAGTATTCATAATGCAACAAAGCTTGACATTTTCCCTCTGCTACTTGGAAGAGCTGTGCCCACTATTTGCTGTTTCTCCCCTTCCCTTCAGGTTTCCCTCTGGGCTCCACCGTGCAATCTGAAACCAAGGGCATCTGGATGTGGTGTGTGCCCCACCCCACCAAGCCGGACTGCACCCTGGTCCTTCTGGACACCGAGGGCTTGGGAGACGTGGAGAAGGTGAGGCAGAGATTCTCAGACAGATCCTTTCTATTTGGTCTGTGTGCTTTCTCTTCAAGACCCTCTGTGACTTGACTGCTGTACTCTGTTTATGAAGTCTAAGAAAGCAAACCACAGAGAGTGAAGAAAATATTGCTCTGCTTGAAACTCACTTCTAGATAAGATCAGATATCATGACATTTTAAGAAAAATATTCGTTTCTTGACAGTAATGGGAATACCTTCACTCAACATAAGGAAAACATTGAAAACTAAATTCTAGCTTATGGGTTTAGTACAGTACAGATATAAATGAACAGATATAAAGCATGGCTACCACAGTCTTCAGTCCCATTGTGAAGACCATGAGGTGAAAAGCAATGAAGTAGGTTGAAGAGAGAAAGATAGTGCACTGTACAGTCCCTGGCTTCTTCCGTTTGCAGGGGGCATCCATTGGAACATGTTTTTGGAGATACCTTCTGTTGGGAGAAGGGTGCTCTTGGGGATCAATACCTGCTATGTGGCCCTGGAAAGTCATTTCATAAGAAGGCTCATACCTGTGGGATGTTTTCCATCAACACTGCCCAAGTCAAGCAATTAATTTTTCAGCTGTACAGGGCCCTGCATGCTGCCATCACTCTTTCACCACATACAGTGCAGCATTTTGGTACGTGGAGTGGAAGGGGCTGAGGCACCAGCCCCATCTCAGCGGCTGAGCGGAGGCCTCTAATCCACTTCACATTTGAAGCTGAAGTGTACATTTGAGTGTTTCTTATAGTGAATCTCCCCAACTATACTTAGAACATTCTGGAAGTCTCTGATATGCCTTTAAATGTGCTGGTTCTATAGAACATTTTTTCCTATGGTGAATATTCTGTGATGGAATTGTGTTAGTATATACAGCTACTTTCTATTGATTCAATGAAAAGAAAGATATGTACTAATAATGTTTGGACAGGATATCATGTCTGCATCTTGTACTACAAATAATGGCCATGAGGATAACGGTAGGCAATGTATTAATTATTGAATCTGTCCTACTAATCAGTTTTGAAATTGTCTCATTGCTATTTGTTTCTCAATAAAATTAATAAAAAATAAAAAGAAAAACATCACAAAAATATTAAGCCTCTCTGCCATCATGAAAGGAGAATTAATTTTTCTTGCTTCATCAAAAAAGGAATTTTGGTATTTTAGCATCCTAACAATACATGAACGTAATGATTGGTCATTATTCCCTTCCTTGATGATGTATTTGAGAATAGTGTATAAAATCAAATATTCTCAATTTCTGTCAAAAGAAGTGATAAATTTGTTTATGGTTTTCAGTTTTATTTAGACATAATCAACAAATAAAGTTTATACTAGGGTGTATATTGGAACGGCATTTTTATATATATTGTGAAATGCCAACAAATAAAATTATCCACATGCAATCGCTGTTTTCTTTGTCCTTGTTGCAGTGTAACCATGTATAACCTAGCTTTTTAGCAAATTCAAGTATACAATGTTGTGCTATGTTAGCTATGGTTACCAAGCTATTTCTTAGCTCTCCAGAAATGATGTATATTGCATAACTAAAGTTTCATTTCTTTTGTACATGGTCTGTACATTTCCAACAGCCTCCAGATCTTAAAAACTACTACTGCATTTTCTACTACTATGGATTGACTTTGTGTTTTGTTTTGTTTTGCTTTGCTTTGTTTTACTATTTCATATCCAACCACTAAAAATGATAGTGAGTGTTTGCCTTTTTGCATCTGGCTTGTTTCACTAAGTGTATCACCCTTAAGGTTTTTTCTTGTTAACATAAAATGTAAGATTCTCTTCCTTTCTCTGCTTAGATAAAAGTATTCTCATTATGTTCACTTGCTCATCCACTGAGTGATCCTGTATGCTCAGACTTTTTTCAAATGGTGCCTGTTATGAGCTGTGATGCAGTAAACACACAGTGCACTGATCTCACTTCCTTGGGATATATACCTAGAATAAATTGCTGGGTCATACAATGATTCTACTTTTTAATATTTTAAATAAAATAAAATATATTTTCTGTAA